TGCTTCGGCTCCAAGCCCTCAAGCGAGTTCTGCACTTTCCGAGTAAACCTAAGAATCATTTGTGAGACTAATCGCAATCGTCCGCGAGACACGATTCGCGAGACAAACAACAGAAGCAACGACAGCCGCAGCCGCAGCAACGCGGACAGTATTCACAAGATGATTCAAGAGACCATGCTGAAGGAGGTCGAGCAGGATGAATGTCCGGAGTGGCTGCCCTCAGAAAATTGAAGCGGAATTCAACAAGGCTCGTGCGCGAGTCCACATCGTCGAAGTCATCGCCGTCGTCATTGCGTTCATCGTCAAATAGGCGTATCCGGTGACAGCGTAGCATCCGACGGCACGGCAGCAGCAAATACGGCACTCAATCGAAGCGCCAAACACGACGGCATTTGACAACACAACAAGACTTTCATTTCTCCAGTTTCCATGGAGTTGGCTGGTCATTTGCACAGCGGAATGTTCTGAGCGAGATAGATCGTAGTCGAGACATCTTCAATCGAGCCCTCTGGAGTTGACTCTGGTTTTATGACATGAACGCCAAAGTTCGCGGATGTGACTAAAATTCGTCGTCCATACGATCAATGCGGCGGAAGAAAATCCTAAGGACCGAAGCGAAACAAGATTTCGGGAAGCCAAAGCCCATGGCAGCAGAAAACGATCTTTACGAAACCCTCAATGAATACAATCGCAGTCCGGACCGGAGGGACTAACCACGCGCGAGTTCACTGACTCAGAGCTGTAACGGTCTTTCGAGGTGTGCCGCCTTGACCGCCAATGACGCAAGCGTGCATTTTCCGTTGAGTAATTTAAGCTTGCGAGGAGTCGAAATCAAAAGAAATAGTGTGTCATTACATTATCGAAGCGGCAGCGGCGGCGCGCCGGTTCCCCACTCCTCTCGATCCCCACCACATACACGTGTTCATGTTGAAAGCGAGCACACTTGTTGTCATACGTGCTGCTCTGATTCCGGGAGTGGAAAGCGAGCGACAAACTCCAGCAATACATAGCTAGTGTACCTGAGCGCGGAGGGGTTCGCGAATGGTCTCAAAAGTTCTCGTTGAAGTTAACTTATCTCGATCATACGTCGATTTATGCATTCGATCTGTCGAGCGTAACCGGTATACAGAGTCCCAAAAATCTGGCATCGACTAAAAAAAGCCGAACATCGGTCACGGTCGCCTCGGGCGGAGCTCCCGAGGCGCGAAAATGATCACGATAAATGAACTCAAATCAATGACAGGAATCAAAACCGCGAAGATTACAAAAATTATGATGATGACGACGACAGCGGCATCCACAGCAACTTTGAAACGACAAATTCAAACCCACAGCTGCGAGCGGCGAAGGAAATCGAGGACGGCGTTGTTCTAAACAGAGTCACTAGTTGCATTTTGAGAAGGTGCCTTACTTGTATTAGTTGCCAGAGCTAGACGCTCAAGCCTGCTGTACAACCCGAACGGGAATAACTGTAGAGTATACTTGTGGTTGGGGAAGGTTCGTTGGGAAGATCGGTCGATCGCTCGGTCGGAAAGTCAGTCGATTGGTCGATCGATCAATCGATCGGTGCTAGAATGCCAAAGATTTAGCTCTAGTTTACACCAATTATTATTACTGCAGGAGATAGCGGCCGTCGAACGAAAACGATGGTTCGTTTACGCTAAACTATCTGAGGTTATTACACCTGCGAGCAGAAGTCGATGACAATTACGAATTCACTGACGACTGTATGAAGTATACAAGGATTATTCTAGATAGACTGGATAACATAGGCTATGGCTAGCCCGTTTGTTGTATATATATGAATGGATTGTATAGACAGGCGGCCAAGCCATATTCGGATTCGTCTGTGCCAAGGCCCTCCAAAGATATTCTAGAAAACTATAATTACGATACCATCTACTGACTATCCACATACCTACTACTACTTGCCATTCTGTTTCGACGGCGTACTCGCGATGGCTTTTTGGGGGTCGTCCACCCGACACACACTTACGCGCACACACAAACACACATACACAAGCTCACAAACATACTGTAACGGAACTCGAAACCAACGCAAGCGATCTGCAACACCGATCCATTTCTCGTAATTATACGCAATCTATCAGACTACACCGAGTATAATCAGAAAGCTGCCAATGACACCGCAACTCCTCATGCATCGGCTTCAGAGCGGTGGGGGTGCGTCGTGCCATTTTGGACGGGCTGCGTCCGCTCCCGCAACCTTGATTGGAAATGAGCCCCTGAGAGCGCTTCTGAAGTTCCTGTGCGCCTTGAGCTTTCGGGAGACGAGGCCACGCTACCCCACCCCCAACACAGACACAACACAATTGGACTGACCTTCTTACCTAGATGCCTTATAGTATAAAGAGACAGTTCAGCTGTGGCTGGAAGATTTTCCAGACATGAAACAGAAACTACTGTGACTTCAATCAGCATCGGAGATGTTAATGAAACGATTGTCGTAAATATATACGCAAATAGCTGGCTCGATTATGGCCAGTAGGGTTAAAGTTGAATACTCAGACGCCGATCCCTTCCCGGAGTAGAGCTTTGAATCTGCAGAGGAATGAGAAAAAACACGAAGTTCCCGTCACGAAATTTTCCTGTTGTGTAGATGATCATCATCGACAACGAAAACGGTGGAATAACGATTATTTTGAATTGTATTCGTGGATAATGCACACTTATATACATACGATATATATTTTTGAGCCACTCTAATCCAGCCTCCCCTGGGCTGCTTGGGAAAGGATTGGCTGACTCTTCCGGATGAGTCCGTGTCGACGAGGCTGGAGGCGACTCGAAAACAGGCAGAGCGTTTGTATCCCAGACTTTTTATAATCGAAATTGACGCCGCGCGGAGAAAACATGGGCCACAAATCTACCCGTCGACCGTCCATCCGTAACAATTCATTAGTCGCGTTGAGAAAGAGTCGTTGGGATGCTTCCGCAAGCTGTAATTTTTGATGGATTTATTTTCCTCATCTCGAACGAGATTGTGAAAAGGCGTGAATTTCAAGAAATCTCCGGCCATGTTTCAGGCCGCTCTTGCGTCTTATGTTCATGGAATGGTTCATCGACTCAGCTTTCATTCATATTGCATTTATTCGTAATCACTCACCAGAGATGGAAAACCAAAGCAGAACTTGCAACAGCATCTTACTGTATGCTCGAAGGTGTCACCAATGATGTTTTTTCCTCGGAAAGTTTTTATTTTTAATTTTGATTCCTCCTCCACACGACTGGTTCGTTCTAAAACCAGAATGTCGAATGTTTTCGAATCTTGAAGCTGGAGCCAAAGTTTTCGGAGAAGGTTGGAGTCGGTTGCTCGATGGACCGAGTCCCTTTTAAGACGATGAATTCACTCCGATTTTTGTCGAGAAATTAAGTTAAATTCAATTGTTCAAGAAGACCGGAACCGAAGCTTATCGGGTCAATGATGATTAGAAGTTGGATTATATTGGAGGCGACGCGGATTAAGGGGATGAGATGAAAATAATAATTATGATAATGATAATACTAAATGAGGCAAGGCGGACACTGCAGAAAGATGGGAAGCCAAATAAAGACATTGTGGCAGTACGAGAGAATTTGATGGTCTCTTTCCTCATTCCGTCGAAGGGCCAGCGGATTCGATTCTTCAACCATAGAAATGGGGGTGGGAGGGGAGAAGACGTCCGTCTCATGGGATAGGAGCCTGCATCCCAGAGAAATGTTAGCGTGAATCCTAATCTATGCAGTTGAAGCGATCAGATCCCACCGCGATCTCAAGAATCTGACTCCCATGAATTTTTCTTCTCACGAGCTCAGAGTCTACCCTCGGATCTTCCTTGATTAAGGGGATCGGAATCATCTGATATGTCCGAGGCTGCCGGCTCGATCCGAAATGCCGGAGTTACAGTTCTTTGTCCGGGCAGACAGGAAGCGTTCCAGACCGATCCTCGCGAAACAGGCGAAGCTAGGTCGAAGCGCCCGAGGACAAGTCCTTTCGAATGAGAAAAGAATCATCTCGATGTTGCTGCTTGAGCTTGGTTCGCGAGCTCATTCAGCCGGTCAAGGGGTTCCCTGAGAAGAACAGAAGGAGCAATTCCTCGCTCTTCTCACGCGTTCTACTCTCTTGCTTTGCTTTTCCGTCACTCGCGACATTCACCGTGTGGCAGACAATACCCGAGTAGCGAGAGGACAACTCGGGAGCCGAGTCGGAGACAAACCCCGTCCTCGTTCGTTCCCGGACGCCGTATCATCAATTGACAGCTTTGCCTTCCTCAAAGGCGTGCTGCATCGGAGGGCCTCTGGATGAACGATATACATACTGTACCGAATACATTCCTCAAATGGACTGCCGAGGAGCTTCGATCGGACAACGAACCCTTGAATTCGGAACGATTGTCGACGTAGGAACTACTGCGCGGGAACTATAACATCACGGGCGTCCCATGCGGCGCCCTGATTAGACCGAATAGAGCCGGATTGGTTGGTGCCTCGACCGATCTGCAAGACTTCGAGAGAAATTCGGCGACATCGGGCGCTTAGAAATGCTCCCTCCTGAAGGGGAATTCGGGATAATCGACAGCGATAACAATTGCTCTCAACAGTTCTCGGGATCTCCAGACAAGGGAGTATGTACTCGCTTCGGGCGATCTTCATCTCTGATTTTCGGATTCCGGGGAGAGCCTCCGGGCGAACGTTGTGCGCCATCCGGTTCTCGAGATTGATATCGCGAGGGAGCCGTTTTCCTCCGTTGTTCCTCCCGGTCGAGCATCGAAACATTTTTAACGATTGAGGCATCGATTCCCATATTCTCAGGGCTTCTCAAGGGTGGCGTTTCCCTTCCCGTCACACCTACTGAGCGAATCCCGTGCGGGATGACCGCGGGGAATACGAACTTCCTTGTCAGGAGCTAACAAAAATGGACGGCCAGGAAGTTTGGGCGAGAATATTGACAAGTACCGCGCATGCGCTGCGACCAGCAAGAGGAACGGCTTGCCGGTTGACGGCTGTGGGTAAGGGCCCGCTACCAACATTGCTCGGTGAGCTGGCAGGGATTTTTCATTGCAGAATCCAGCATTACTTCACTGACGGCAGCGGAAATCAGCCCGAGAAAGTGAAAAGTGTGGTGTGTCAAGATCTCCAAGGTGAGCAGTAGCCAAACTCCACGGTAAGAATCGCTTTGCCCTCCGACCCCGAAACAGGCAATCCGTCAACCATGGTGTAGCTTCGGCGAAGATCCTGCTCTTCCGTGGCGGAGACGAAAACGAGAAACGACTGCAGCATTTGGAGCCTGGGACTCCCAGAACTGCTTTCGGTCGAAACCTTTCGCGTACAGAGATCAGGATTTTTCGTCTGAGAATTTTCTGGAGTCAGGAGAGCCAAATTTTTTTTTCTGTTCTGATAATTAAGGATTCTCTGAGAGCATTCTTCTCCTCGGAGGTTCAACCAGCAGAGAGATGTAAGATGTTTCATCAAGGTCTGCCGATAGATGAATATTCCGGTAAAGATATCCACTCTCATCAAGTGCGATCAGAAATAGTCGGTTTGTTCTATGCTCTGCCGGAAGTTCCCGATCTTGTCTGATTGGAGCAAGTTTGGAGTCCTTCCGCGTCCGCCACGAGGATATTTCGGGATAGGTTATGTGTTGAGGAAACAGTCTTTCGATTGAAGCACCCATCGGCATTCTTCTCATTGCGAGTACTCGGACGTGCGATAATGATATTCATTCTCAAGGACGTCAACACCAAAGTATTCCATTGCGGGAATATTGTCCGCGAAAAGGCCGTCAATGACAGCTGAGTGGAACCGGAAAAAATAGCTCCAACTGACCGTAAATCCTCGTCCGGTATCCTGCCTTGGGGCTCTATTCAGGATGATCCGAGAATCGAGCGTCTTCTCTGCAAGTAGACTTCCCTAAGTCGCGCAGAAGATCGAGAATCATATGGTGTAGCGAAGTGACTGGCCCTCAGGGGGCCCCCACAGAAAGAAGCAGATCGCGTCTCTAGTTTCAAATCTGCCATTTGCGAGCGTCGACCTGGGTTCAACTCGAGCAGACGTAAGCGGTCCAGAACGGCAAATACGCGGCTCTCCTTTCTGTCAGACCACAGTTAATCATTCCCCTCCTGAGCTCGAGCCGGATTCGTGAATTTTACATCAGTGCTCTAAATTTCACGATTTCGGCTTATTCTAATCCTTCGGGTGGAATATTTGTTCTTTTGGTTGTTGGGGAAAAGCGATTCTCGCGTGAATTTTTCAGCGCTCTGGGATCGCTGGATCCTTGTTGTTGGTTGGACTCAAGCGGAGCGTATAGCCTCGACGAGGAGTAATTGTCGGATAAAAACAGCATTTGTGTCTGAACCGAATGATCGCTCACGTTGCGAGGTAGAGGCCATCGAAGCGAAATAAAGTTGGCGCGGAGCGTCTTTCATCGACTGCTTGGCTTCTTAAGCGTCATGAGCTTCGACGAATGCCGGGATAATGCGAAGCTCCCGAAGGTACGAGAGTCGAGGCTTGAACCCATCCGGGAGGAGCCGACGCCCTCCCACCCAGACGAATCGTGTTGGAGACAGATGGCAAGAGACAGCGAGGAATGAGCTAGTGATCGAACTCCGCATTTCATGCCCTGCCTCTACCCTATTTCAGAGGAATATGGCCCCAGCGTTGAGTGCCGATTGCGCGGATGACACCGAGTCGCTCTGGCACGCGCCATCGGTCGGCATGCGGTCGACCGATACCGTATTGGTCACTGGGAGTAGCGGCTGCATCGGCCAGCATATCGTGAAAATGCTGCAAGAAAAGGATCACAACAGCAAGAGAATCATCCTTTTCGACCTACTGCCTTATGAGTGAGTCCCGGGAATCGCTATCCATCGCTTGACAGACCTCGATGAGAACCATCCGATTGAATCGAACCTCCTCCCCTCCCACCCTTTCATCCCGTTTGTGCTTCCAGGAACAATCTGAAGCATGCGACTCCGAAGCCCATGAAGGAGATCCAGGGCGACCTCACAAACGCCAAGGACGTACTCGATGCTTGCGAGGGTGGGTACTCGTTGCGGGAGCGCTTTGGTTTTTCGGTTCTGAGCATTTGTTCCGGGACCTCGGACCAACTGAACGGAGAAATAATGTCACGAAGCGAATTGAATTCAGGGGTCGATTGTGTGATCCACTGCGGAGCTCTGGTTGACATCTCGATGTTCCCTGACGCGGCTGCTCTCGAAGCCACCAATGTCGACGGGACCAGGAACGTCATCGACGCGTGCATCAAACAAAATGTTCCTTACCTCGTCTTCACCTCCACAACGGACACTGTCGTCAGCTCAAATCATATATTCTACGGAGCTGAGAACACGACTTTCATCCCGAAAAACTTCTTGATGGGATCCTACGCCGAGACGAAGTATCGAGCCGAGCAACTCGTGCTCCAGGTAAATTCACTCGATGTGCCCTCGAAAACTTCGACGAGGAAAATACAATATCCGATTGGCAGCTTCTGATATCATTTTTTCCCTGTTCCTCAGGCAAACACCCGTGTGCTGAGCGATGGCGTCACGACTCTCCGTACTTGCGTCTTACGCCCCACAGTAGTCTATGGGGAGGAAGAGAAACACTTCATCCCCAGATTGATGTCCGTGGCCAAGTTGTACGGAAGGGGTAAAGTACAGAAAGTCAAGAGTGTCGACGAGAGATTCCAGGTACGAGGACCGAGCTCCCAGCCAAGAGTCTGTGTTTCGCCTGAGAGAGACTATAATATTTCTTTCGGGAGGCGATCGCGGTTTCCCCATTCCTGCGCTTTACAGATCACCTACGCGGGCAATGCCGCCTACGCTCACGTCATCGCGAAAGATCGTCTCCGCGAAAACAGCGACTGCGCGGGGGAGATTTATTACATCACCGATGACACTCCCCTCGAGGAACTCTACGTCGCGATCAAACCCTTTGTTGAGGCTCAAGACATGAGACTGAGTGATTGGAGTCTGCCCTACCTCTTCGCCATCCTAATCATGTCGCTGATTAGCGTCATCTTGAGGATCATCCGTCCCATCTATCAGGTGAGGAACACTCATGTTCTCCGTTGTTGTTCCCCTCCCCCTCTAATCAAGACGTTCCTGTGCCTTCTATCGCGCCTCATTCCGATCATGAATGACGATATCATCGATAAGACGAGCTTCTCCTCAGGTTGGAAAGCTCTTCCCGACGCCTGCAACGGTCACCTACGCTTGCACATCCGTGTTCTTCAACAGACAGAAAGCGACTCTGCGCCTCAAATACTATCCATGCTTCACCCCGGAAGAGAGTTACGAAAGGGCTCTCGAGTACTACAAGAAAGTGAAATTTTGAAGATTGAGGAGCTCGGAGCGCAATATACGAGCCCCGAATCAAACCCTGATTTTATGCTCATTTTGAAATAAATTCGTCTACATATGTACCCGACAGCACAACAGCATTCGATATTTCTCATTCACAAACGAGAGCCCCCCGCTTTACCCTCCGGGCCTCATCCGGTTTACAATACATTCTCTGGAGGCTTTCTGGCGTGAATCTGCGGAGCTCCGCGCGAAACAATTTCAGTGGGATGGATCCGACCCCCAGTGCGATTCGCGCAGCGCTCCAATCGCCCGGCTCCCCGTTAGTTTACGCGAGTCCATATGATTCCAAGGTCTTCTTCCGTAAGCCGGCAGGTCCCTTCCGACGGGCGAATCTCGATCGCTGTTCGATATGTCCCAGTCTCCGGGGTATAATTGATTCTTCTACAGCAATCTGAATGCTTTTCCCGCTGCTCTCGATGAGACTTTGCGCCACATAGTGTTTCAAACCCAGAAGATGAATTCAGGAATCTATGCGGACCCTTCACATTCTTTTCCGAGGTCTTTGAACTCGCGCCGGTCTGCGTGAAGCTGAATAGAGGCCCTGCAGTGGAATTCACTCATGAGCTTCTCTGGACTGAATACCCGGCACTCCGGTCCGACTCCTTCAATTTTGATGGTACTCTCGTGTTGATCTTCAATTTCCGTCGATTGAATTCTGAGTAGGTCTGGAACCCGACATGGGGGTTGTTCGAGAATCCCAGGTCAAAACAGAACAGCTCGATTGAAGTCGATTTTTCCTTCTCGTCGACCCCTTACCGCGATTCTCGTAAATCCAACCACGCCAACCAGGCCAACCGCGGAATCGCCCTAGCGATCCCGGCGGCGAGTCCCGAACCTGCCGCCGGCTGACGAGCGCACAGGCACTGGCGACTGCTGCCGCTGAAAAAGCGTCGACGTCCGAAGCAGACGAAAGCGTCGTGGAAAGAGTCGTTGCCTTACCCACTGCGAAATTTCGAGCAGCCTGTGGCGATTTGCTACGCTGTACGGCTCGTACGCGGGCCGTATAGTCTCGAAAGTTGTTACAAACACTCAGAGCTGCTCGGGGGTATGCCAGCCTGTAATCAATCGCCTTGTAAAAACAAGAACTAACGCTGCAAATTGCGAGCTCTTGTCCCAGACAACTGTGCCGCGGGACTTCCGCTCCTTTCCGAGTATAAATATCCTTGTGCCCACGATACTTGATGTCTCTTCGGAGGCACATACCGAAAGCCGGCAGGCAGCACAGACTCTCACACGACCCTGTCGCGCTGTGAGCTCACTGAACTGATCAGACGACTGTGCGGTAGAAGCGCCAGAGACATGCAAGAGGAATCGCTTGAGCTCACTCAGAGATGACCCTCTCGAAAAACAACTTCAACGTTTATGATAACATTGCGCGCACGGTTTCTTAAACAACACCGAGCCCAAGTACCATAAAAGTTGAAAAGGCTGTGTGGAACAGCTAGGACTTCGGTCCATTTTGCTATCTCGCAACTTCATTGGCTCTTTTCCCATTTCAGCTTGAGGTCGTAAGTACCCCCGAAGCATTTCTCGGAGGATCTTTAAGAGTACCGAGAAGAGCTTAAACGACTAACAATCCAAATCTATCTTTGAAGATTGGTCCTTTTTATTATTTTCATGAGCTTTCCGAACAATAATAAAATTGGTGGTATATCCTTCGATGTTTCCAATCGAAAGCGAACACTGCGCTACATCGATCACTTTAAGTAGTACATGTTTGATTATGCGGAATGCGGCTTCAGCTATCGATATAGATAGATGACGTTCATTAGTCTACGTAGTCCTCAGTACTGTAGATAATATCCATGTAGTTCAGCAGCAGATCCTTCACGATCGAGCGGTCCGAAAATGTTTGGGCCTGGCCGTACACGGCAGCCTGTGGAGTTGGGTTATATTCGCTGTTATACCAGCTCTCCAACGATCGTTCTCGCTCGGGAAATTCTCTATGCCGGTCGATATTTCTCGATGCACGCACCTGAGACGAGACTTTCTTATCGGGTTCTTGAAGCATTTTCTCAACGATAGTCCTGAGATCAGTCAAGAAGGTCTCTGTAACCTTATTCTCGGCGTGGATTTTCGTCAAGCAGATGTGGATACCGCTCGGGAACTGCAGGGGATTCAAATGCCATCCCAACTTCCCCATCCGGGAGTTGACTTCGAAGATATTGATGCTGAGCGATGATCCGAGCCGAGTTAGATTCGCATGCCAACCCAGTGCAAATGGGTTACTCAAAAATTCATGGATACAACGAGCGAATCGATGCTTCTCTACTTACATGTCACTATCAAATGCGATCACGGTGGCTTGAGGGTCTCCAAGAACCCGGAGACCTTTGATTTCCTTTATGCCGTCCTTGATTTTCCTCGCCTCAGTCAGAATATCTCGACAAGCCTCGACGTAGCCTCCCCTTCCATAATAACGCAAGGTGGCCCAGCAGCAGGCCACAACAGCTCCCGATCGACTTCCTGAGGGACAAAGGGCGCGTTAACAGAGGGGAAAATAATAGTACCGAAACCACCACACGGTCTTTTACAGAATCGCACTCAAAACTCACCGGCCACGGTAGGAGTGATATAAACACCTCCCGGCCAATCACCGGCTGCGGAAAATTGATGATGGAGGTATTTCTTCGATGAGTACATGACGAGCGAAGTCCCTTTTGGCGCCATAGCATATTTGTGGGTATCACAACTGATGCTCGTCACTCCTGTAGACGACGACAATATGTGATTTATCGTATTCAATACATAAGTTCCCTCGATGGAGAGCCTGATTCGATTAGATCTAAGGCGGGATGATCTCACTCACCCTTGACGCTGAAGTCAAAGTTGAATTTTCCGAAGCCGGCATCTTCCAAGAACGGCATGATGAATCCACCGAGACAGCAGTCGACGTGCACAGGAATGTTATATCTGCATCCGAGGGCTGCGATTCCCTCGATCGGATCGATGATGCCATGGGGATAGCCGGGTGCGCTCCCAACGAGCTGGAAAACGGAGATTTGAACAATCTACCGAAGTTCCTTCCTTTGTGGATGCCCCGGCGCAATGTGGGCTCGTTCTTTTCGGATCGTTCCGGTTGGGGACTGTGTTTCGCTGATCGAATGATGCCGAAGACTTACGAGAATGGTGTTCCTGGTGATCATTTTCCGCATTTTCCTTGTATCTACCATCAAAGTTTTCGGATCGAGAGGAACTTTGCGAATCTCCAACCTCAACCAATCGGCAGCTTTGTCGAATGCCGCATGGGCCGAATGAGGAACGAGGATCTCCGGTTCGGTGATTCCTCGAGTAGCAAACGCAAAGTCTCGGTACGCCTTGCAAGCGAGCATAATCGATTCGGTACCGCCGGATGAGATCTATAATGGAGTGGCTTATTTCAGGACGGAACCTTCTTTCCGGAGCACACAAGGGGGACAAAACAAGAACACCGACGTACCGAGCCGCAGGCGTCCGCATCGCCGTGGTAGAGATTGAGAACCCAACGAATTATTTCAGCCTCCATTTTACGAACCCCGCTGAAGATATCAGCGTGGAGATGGTTGCTCTTCATAGTCTTGTGGAAAACCTTTGCGAGGAAACGGGGAAAAACATATTTTATCCATTCAGCTCAACGAAACTCATCATGACGAGATTAAGGCTGAAGGTGTCATCGAGCACCTTCGAGCTGCATCAATTCACACGGGCTGTGCACTCACGTCTAAAACGAGTTTCTCGCATTCAATGTCGTTCGGGGAATAGATGCAGCCGGACACCCGGCCCGCTTTCCAGTCGGCTTTCGACAGGTCGAGATAGGATTGAACCTCCTCCACGATGTTAACCTGGGACAATTCTATTCATTGTAGGCATATGCCGTCGCGCGCAGAAAACTGGAATCTCTAGGATGGGGGATAATTCCCCTGAAGGAGGGGATAATCAATCGATGGATGGGGATGAGCTCTATATATGTCAGTACTCACTGCCTTGTGGCCTTCCTCAGGAAGGACCTTCTTGAAGGAGCCAGGTGCGTAGTCTTTCTTGAGATCGCGCTCTAGATCCTTCAGGACCGGCCTCATCTTGCTTGCAGAGATGCTCCTGATGATGGGCAATCTTCGAAAACGCTCGAGCAAGCTCAGCCGTTTGTTTGAAGGCACGAAACCTGAGGCGTCAGAGAGCAGTCAAGAGAACTCTTGTCGAAGAACGGAGATTGTCAAGCCCCAGCTGGAACTCCGAATTTCTGTCCCGATGGCGCACGTTTCCCATGACCTCTCTAACGATCGTTTCCGCGTGTCGGGGCCCGTAGAATTTCTTTCCTATTGCCTATATTTGTCTATGACTCCTACGATTCTGCCGAAGCTCTCGGCAATCATATGAGGGAACTGAGATATTCAACTGTGCGTTTCATCTCGCAAAATGTAGAAAATCCGCGTCACAAGGACGCAACGATATGTTACCAAAGAGGCAGACATTATCGGAAGAGAGAAAGTAAGGGCATTCTTGAGGTGGTTCCTCGATTTCGATTCATCCCTGCAGGATGGAAGGTTCCCAAGGACTTAATCCATTCCCGCTCCGCTCTCTTCCTCGCAGGAGTCCACCAGAAATTCCCTTGGAGAACCACGATGCGCAAGTGCTTTCTCCAATCGTGCCCAACAGCGGCGAAATGCTCCCCCAGAGCGCCTTTGTTTTGCCGTACAGATTTCAGATGAGCGGAGAACCGCTGTACGAGCTTGACCCCTGTTTCGCCGACGTATTGCTGACGGCATAGTTTACAGTGCACCAAGTACACGACATTCGATGATCGACAGTTGAACACTCCTTGAACCAAAGTGTGTTCGCTTTTCGGGATGACGCAAGTCGCCTCTAGTAAACGACACAGCGTGCATTGCGGGCTCAAGCATGGACCGCTCATGGCACTTGCTTCCGTCGGGGGACATTTGAACAGACAAGTGAGTAGGTCAGGGCGTCCTGAGAAAACGGAACCTCGACTTTTAGTTTCTCATCAGCCGGTGAAGATTCCCTCACGGGACTGGGATCAGATTGGACCGATTCGGTTCGAGGAATGTTTGCGCATTCGATTCATCGATAGATTAGCCGCCTGGGCCAGTCTGTATCGTGGATCGAGATTTGACGGAGCATATAACGCCGATAACGGCGGAAGACTCCGGTCATCGGTGGGCTCTGCCGCTCGCCCTCGTCGCACACGCGAAGACCGATGCAGAAGATCTACGTATGATTTCAGGAGATCGTTCCAAATCCCGAGTGGAGAAAACTCACTGTTGTATGTGAAGAGTCGCTTGAGAACCCACAGCGATAAGAAGAAAAGGAAGCAGGCCGTGACTAAACAGAGAGGCTCCACTCCTTCGAGTTCCTTGTTGATTCGATGTCGAATCAATCCGACGCATCGCAAGAACGTTTCTCCGACGAGCATTCCGATGTCAGCCTGCAGGGGAAACACTGATTTTGAGCCTCGTCTCATGGAGGATAATCAAATCGTACATTCATTATTGTGGATCGATTTCTAGGCACTACAATTGAGCTCCACACGGGAACTCTGAGCGAGCGCTCGAAATAGGCAGAGGCGAGTATCGGGGGAGTCACTCACCAGCTCTTTGCCGTCCGTCGGCCAATACACGTTTCGGAGATCGTCCAATTCTTGCTGGATTTCATCCCACAGCGGTCTTTCGACCGAGCTGTACCCGAACATGTCGTTCACCTGAATACAATGAGCAGACTCTTGATTATCAACTTGATAGCGGTCGGAGTTTCAGATCGCCTCCCGGGGAACATCGGATATTCCACGTCACATTTGGCAATAGTCATTTCAGATAGAGTTTTACCAATGAAGAATCCATGACGGCACACCGCCGCGACCACAGACCTACGACGATTGACATGCTCCCGGCTGCCTAGCTGTCGAGGGTAATTCCTCTTTCAAAGGTCAGTCGTCCTCCATAAGCCTCCGATAAATGATTCGAGCCAGCTTCTCTCGTCCATCCTTCTAGCGATTTGATAACAGCTCTAAGTTCTCACCGGGAACGTCTCATCAATCACATATCGAATGGGAATCGAGCTTCCTCCTGAGCATTTGAGTCATCCCCCCAATTCTTGGCTCCTGGACACCGAGCGATCTCTGCATCTAGTCCCCGCATGGGATCAGTGGTTGAGCTTTCGACGATTCATTGGCTCGCCTGGGATCTCTGATTCGATAGTTTACCCCATGATTGTGCAGGATTTGGGGTTTCATATATCGCCACTGCCCCCTGCTATCGGAAGCTGACTTAAGTGACTCGATGATAGCATAGTCCCATGATTCTGTGTTTATTGAAAGGTCACGAACGGGAAATTACAATTTCGAATTCCAGTCGCGAAACATTGACGGCTCCTCGATGAAACTTCTATTAGCTTTAATTCCGAGACGGTGAGAAGGGATTTCGATATCTTTCTATATACAGGGAGATAATTGCGTGATTGATATTCTTGTTCATTTCACCAGGCACAAGAGTACTTCGGGAGCACCTCCATCTTCCTCAAGGGAGCTGGCTCGAAAAGCCTTCGGATAAGGAATCGCAATTCAAATTCTCCCAAATGGCTCCTGATCGTGAAAGGATACGACTCGGTCCGAAGAACTGTCTGCGTCTTAATCGGGTTCCGCAACTCCAAACAAAATGCGCGGATTGTGAGACAGCGAGCCCTGTTTCGGAGAATCCGATCGATGATTGACTGAGCGTGAGAACATCACTTCAGGGCTTTCGTGGAGATTTCCGCCGCGTTCGAGGAGCTCGTTTGGTTTTTTTCGCATCCTTTTCAGCTTCGCGCTTCTTCTTCAACTCTAGGACATGTTTCATGGCAGGGGTGAGATTTTCCTGTACCGAGATCGATTCAGTCGTTTCTGTTTCTGTGTCTGACTCCTGAATTTTCGTCTTCTTCTTCGCGGGTGCCTTACGCTTCGATTCTTGTTTCAACCCCTTCAAAGGAGGCTTCTTCGGCGGCTCGTCTTCGCTATCTTCGGATGAGAACAACGTCTCATCTGATTGTCGTTTACGATCGGAGAACAGGTCCAGTTTCCTATCGAACTTCTTGCCTGCAGCCTCGAGTCCTTTGACGAGAATCTTTCGCAGAGCTTTATAATCCGGCTCGTCTTGGAAGCCGATTTTGGCCACAGATTTTAAAAAAGCCTCTATGGCTTTGTTTCCGGATTTTCCGAAGCAAGCGGACACTAGACCCGTGACGTCGGCCATGAATTTCTCCTTTGACTCCGCGACGGCTTTGCAATCATTGAGTAAACCCAACCAGGGGAGTTTTCCGGAAAGCCAATGCAGGAGATTGTAACCGAGTATTTCGATATCGGCTCTACGCGAATCCATGCCTTTGTGAGCGTCTCGCGAGGTGTACTCTATCGTCCCGTTGTGCATTTTTTTCTTGTCTCCTTTCTCCTGCTTGTGAACTTCGTCTCTGGTGAACTTGCAAGCGAGGCCGAAGTCGCAAATGTAAACTTTATTCTTGTCCGTTAAACCCAGCATTATGTTTGATGCCTTTATATCGGCATGGATGTAACCGTTGGAATGGATGTACTCGAGAACATCCAGAACTCTGATCCCGACCGTGTAAGCAGTCTTCAGCGGCAGTTTTCCGTTCTTGATGTACGCTTCGAGATCACTGGAATATCTATCGATGATTATGTAGCGATAAGTCGTCCCGTCCACTTCGTACTGTCCTTTCGCGTGCAGAGTCGGCATTCCGAGATAATCGAGCTTCTTTTGGGATATCCAAGCGTCCAAGCTCGATTTGTTCGCTGTCCTCATGTAGAAGTGCATCTCAACGAAAAGAGGACCACTGCCCGACGGCTCAATCTTGATCACATACGACGCGGAAGGACTGACCGCCTTCCCGACATCTTCCTGACACACGAAAACTTCACCGAATCCACCAATACCGATTCTCTTTCCGATTTTCCAGCTTTTCTTTGAAATGTCACGGACGGTGTTATTCGAAGGGAGTATGACAGCCTTTCTCTTAGGTGGCATCGTCTTTGATTCCGGGAATGGCTACAGAACTGTCAACGAGATCAATCGAATCACTGAGCGCTGAGATTAGAAGACCGATGTCGCGTTCGGAAAACGAGCTCGACAACGACCACAGTAGAAAACCAACGAGCCGTTGTTTACAGCCACTTGCACGGTATAACGCTCGAGTTTTCCCCACAAAAACGATTCCGAAGGATGTTCTGTCGACTTAAGGTGGTACTTCGCTAGGTAGCGGGGGCTGCACACGTAATTTCCGACTAAACCGCTCAGACACCCATTGTGCTAGAAAAAGGAATTTGGCGGAAAACTTACGGTTGGAGAGCCCGGTAGATGACAACGACAAGTTCTGGTCACGGCGGTACATACTGCTCGCGGCCACGGAGAGGGCGAGGGCAGAAACAAGATCGCTTTTGAGTTCGTGAGTGCGAGCACTTGGACCGCATGAGATCGACGTTTCCCCGACTCTAAATGTATCCTAGCTTTGGGGAGAACTCAAACCTCACGGCAGGACGGAAATTCTCATCGGAATCGGAACGCTCTCCGTGACGACGATGTTTTGACACGACGAAGAGGAGAGCGGAATATCTGTCAAAAATCACCGGGATGCTACCCAGCACGTGAGAGGAAGAGCGTCTTAGGGTGGAAGCGCCGGCGACGTAGAAATTGCGGGAGCGGGGAGTCGTACAGGTCTAGCTCACGGCTTGGATTCCTTGTATGGGGAGATAGAGGTTCTACGCGGGAGGGAGATCCTCGGTCAGAATCAGAATTGACTGCTCTCCTCGTTGTTCTTATTCGAATTTCCCTCCCCCCTGCTTCTCCCTAATCGGTCTCCATTCTCCATACCTAGGCCAATTACGGGTACGATTGCGAAATTGTATTATCTTGGCATCCCCTCACCGTCTCCCCATTCCATGCTGCAAAAGCATGCTCGGAGGGTCCCTGCTCTCACTATCTGCGGAAGGCGAATATTGTTCTCAAGATCCGAAGGCTCCGGCTTGAAGATCGTCATCAATCTCCGGGGCTCAAATGGAATCGGTGTAAGCTTGTATGGCCTTGGCTCAGAAGCTCCAGGGCGCAGCCTCCAGAAAAGTTCTTCCTGTCTTTCACCTAGTCCATCTCTTTATTCCGTCTACCCATCTTCGCCGATTCGTATAAGGATCGGAGCTCAGTGGAGTGAACATCCGGATTTGCCTCTAGGCCGATGAATTACTTGATTTTCTTCCTTCGTTTACTTCCGAGCCCGAGCCGATTGTGAGTTGACGTGGAATGAATCGCTTGAGAGCTCGAAGCTCGTTGTGGCCTCAGGATAGCGACGCGGTCGAGAATGCCATAGAGAGTAGGAAGCCAGAATGGTCACATTCAAGGCCCAGAGTAGGAAGAGGATAAGGCAGAACATCCCCCCGTATTTTTGAGAGCGGCCTTAAACGAATTTATCGAATCAATCGTTGGATATCGTTCGTATAAGAGAAAAAGTTTCGAGCATAACGATACCGATATTCTGAGTACACACCGCCGAAGAGGAGGCAGCCCGGATCATCGTAGAAATCGTAATCATCGAAGCCGTGCGCGCGCGAGCCCTCCATCTCTGCGGAATATTTTCTGTTAGATTCCGGCTTCATGGGCCTCGTGACATGATCGGATCGGGACTGTTCACTTGCAGATGGGTGGAAATATTGCGTATCCGCAGCTCCTATCACTGACTCAGGTCGCTGAGAGCCCGTCTCAGAGTCTATTACCGTGTTTGGGTTCTCAGTCGGACGAATTCCCCGACTTCAGTATAACTCTCTATACTTGTGATTGCTATTAAGGAATCAGGGTAGTTGATTGAAATCCAGGGAAGCGAGAGACGCGTTGCAGCAGAAGGTAGTGTAACCAGCGGCAAGCTTGGGACTCTGCACCCCGATGCAGTCGAGCGAATCGGTGTTTATCTGGAAGCTCCGGGGATCCTTACCTCGTTATTGGAGCGCGGTCTGACTCCACGGCACACCGAACAGAACAGAAGATGGGTTACCCCTATATGTATAACGATGCCTCAGATCGATGCCCCTCTCATCCTGAGAGCATTTTCAGAGGACCTACATTCGAGGTGCCAGAGAATGTGACATCCAAATGAGTTTCGTATCCGATATGGTGCGCTGTTAGGGAACACGAAGTCCTTGACAGAATCGAGAAGCATCACATATGAATCTGCGAAACCTCGATAAATTATCGATGCTCCATCGAGCCGGATCGGATTACGACATTCATTTTTCTAATTCAGTTGATTCCGAAGTCCCAAGGCTCAGAATCTCGTTAAACTCACATACTTGCTCCGTTCTCCCGAAACGTTTTGAGATACCTCTTACTGGCACGACAAACTGTGATCAGAGACATGTTCCCTTTTCTCTTAGCCGAGTTATCGGAAACATCGAATGTATTCTTGCCGGCCGTATCTTCTGCAGCGAATAATCGTCGCGTTCCCTGAACTATCCGATAAACGAATGGATATGTGCTCCGTCCACGCAACGTGTCGGACGGGAGCGAGACGTCGGACGCCACCTCAAGAGGGTGTATCATGTAATCGCGATTTATTGGCAATTTTTCGAATTTGAAGACAACTCTGGTATATCTCGGCCCTGTATGAGCGTCGATACGGACTGAGGATGCATGGCTCTCGATCGATGCAAGCAGAGTTTCTCTCAACTCGAGCGTAGAAGCATCTCGGGATCCCCTCGCGGTCCGGTTTCTGAGAGTCTCTGTGATGCTCAGAAAATCTGGGGAGCCTTCTCAGAACGGAGAACACGGGAGACGGATACCGGAACAGCAACCGGAACACTTTACGAACATTATCAAAACGGTGTGCACAGAGTCAGATCCTGGATATGTGAGTTTGTATGAGCTCCTTCCCGACCGATCCCAGCCGTAAATTCGCGTCTCAGATCGAATCATCTCGTGGAGAGCATACCGGAATTATTTTCCTTCATTCGATGCTGAATCTCGGGACGTTTTTTCCAGGTATTCTTGCGGCGTTAAACATCTTCCATTCAAACAATGTCCGAAACTCATCTGAAATGCGGATAGAGGTTCTAGCAGTCGATCACATGCAGGGTCCGTCGTCCTGGAATCGCAAATGACCGACACGTTTCCTGAACCTCTTCAAGGATAGAATTACGAATCTTACAATTCTTTTGCATGGAGTTCCTGGATCGATAGGCTGCCGAGTGTTGTCATTGCAGAAGAAATGGTCGCATCCCGAAATATCCAACGGATTGCGTGGACCCTCGTGGTCTTCACAGGCAGTATCGTAGAATTCTCTGCGGCGGTTTCCCGGAGCAAGCACGTCCAATTTGTAGGCAGTACCTGGGAGGAATCAGGACGGGTATCGATGCCACAATTTCGTTGAGAAAAGATGAAGAGCGATGGGGGAGAAGTCATGAGAGAATTCGGGGGACGGTTCTCGGTCATCAGACGCGGAATGTGAAGGCGAGTCGACGAGAAGAATCATACTCACTGAGGTCTACGACCACGACCAAACACAAAGTAATGCAGGGTATCAGCTTAGCTGCCATGATTGTCAGTCTTGAACCGAGCGGAAGTAATGAGCGTCGCCGTATGGAGCTTATAAAGACTACAAGTCTCCGACTGCCTCTAGGCGTAGGTCTCAAGTCATGTGAACGAGCTAGGCTCAACATGATTCTGCGGCTGTACATCGCAAAAGCCTATATAGTCATCATGGATGCTATCAAAGTGGTAGGTTTTTCAACTCATAAGCAGGAAATTGCGCGAAATGTTTCAATCGAAATGAATAGCATTCTCTGCTGGTCCATCCACTTGAATATCGACTCGATTCGGGGGGGAATCGATTTTCATTCGTCTGCAATTTCTCAGCGTTGGACAGTCTCTCCGAACTTCGCCGAGTCCGGATACATTAGAACGAGAGAGGACTTTTGCGGATCAGCGTCTAATCGCTATCCGATGCTCAGAACCCTCCGTGGATGATTCTAGCCTCCGAGATCAACGAGCAACGCTTCCTTCCGAGGGAATGTGCACTCGGATCTTGTCTTCGAAGTATCCGCGACGTGTCTTGATGATTCCGGGCACTTATCGAGCGCAGCGAGCTCTATCATCTGCAGATCCGGCTGAAAGAGCCGTCTCTCAATCATCAAAAAGGGACCTGCACACCATTTTGATCTTGCCAGCAGCGGAGCTTGATTTTTCCCTATGAAACCTCCCGCGTAGCCCGGTCGAAATCTCCGGCGATACTTTCCGGGTATCGAAGGTCTGCCGCTCCGCTAAACGAAGACACGGAGTAAGTGCACATCAGTCGCTCAGGGTGCTCCTGCACGCGCTGACCAATCGTCAATCTCTCAAGCCCACCTCGAAATTCTGATTAAGAATTGTTCGCTTGTTTGGAGAAAAGGATTCCTGGAGGATGCCATTGCATTTCACACTGCATCGGCGGGGTCAGCAATGATGACTCAAGGAAGGCTCAAGAACCCTCCCAGCTATCGATTTTGGCCCGTTCTCTCCGAGCGGCGGACCCCTAATGAAGACGAAGGTTACCTGACTAAAACAATACTCGAAAGAATAATTCAAGTAAAGACTCTTCGTTATCTACAATTGTTTATTCTACTGAATCGTGCTCTCTCATATACCCTCACACCCCCGGACTTTTGATCCAATCCCTCCTGGGATTGAGCGTAAAATGGGAATCATTCGGACACTTCTTGGAAAACTTCAATCCAACGGGCCGAGATTCTCGAAGGGGGACCCCACTCGGACTGTAGTGTAAGGTCGTTCCGACCTCCGATTTTCTTGACGTCCTACACCAGCACTCGATTTCTACGGTGCCAGACTGAGCGACTCGCAGCTTTGAGCAGTGCCTCGTCTCGGACAGAGACGGGATCCTTGAAATATGAAGTTCTCCAACAACTCTCCATGAATGAATCTGCGTGACTCACAGATCTGTAGGCATAGATCCGGACGGTGACCTAGCCATTCTCCAAATCGACTGCGCCAGTAAAGACTCTTCGTTATCTACAATTGTTTATTCTACTGAATCGTGCTCTCTCATATACCCTCACAATTCATGAGTGGAGCTGAACAAGCTCGTAATGTGAGTCTGGATGTTCGGAAACGACATGGCGAGCTAGGCACGAGACCAGCAGGCAGCGTAGCGGGGATGATGCGAACTCACAGGTGTCCAACACTTGTTACGTTTTGTTCGATTCTTACATCGCCGCAGTCATTTTGTTCGGGGATTCCTTCGGAAAGCTCGATCCCATCTCTGCTGCAGAGTGTCGTTCTTGGGCCGGATAGATGTCCGACCCCGAAATCCATGCTCCCCGAAGCTTACGAGTTATCTCGCGTCAAGATTGCGGATCTTCGGAGAATCCCCCCAGCGTCGACATGGCCCGTCGTCGCCAGAGCGGGAGTCGGGGGAACTCCTATTATGGTCCCCGGATTCCTGAAGCCATCGAAACGATCGCCTGGTGAATCGACACCGAGTTCATTGAACCATGGGTCAGACTAAAGTCTGAGAACAATGTTCCGGGACAGAACGAGGCATGATAACTCCCCTGGACAGGTTGCGTTGCCTTTCTGCTGCCGAGCGGATCACACGAACGACTTGTGTAGACCACGTACACCGTGTGGAGCATTGTTCGGTCAGCGGAGACGAGGGACTCGGCTCCCGCGACTCAAAGGGGCTACTATAAAGCAGCCGATCTGAAACAATCAGAGCAAGATGAGGATGCTTCCTCGGTCATCGGGGGGCACGAACGGTCCGTCTCGAGGAGGGAGCTCGGATCGGATAGCCAGAGCTCCCAACCATTGGTGCTCTGAACCGTCCCATAGTGTCACGCAGGCAACCGTCGCCGATATCGAGCCGGAAGGACATTGGAGATCCCGGAAGCTCAGTCTCGCATTTCAAAGTTTCGTCGTGAATTCCGAAGCAGCCCAACAATCATTGTGGCTCGCGCCGAGCCCGTGCGGCGCATCGACTCGGCGTTACAGTTACGCGATGCTCCGGGGACGCGTCGTCACATGGGAGAGACTCGGGAACAATAGACAGAGAGAACTTCGGAGACTTGGAAGCATAGAAAGTAACGAAATGCTCTTGTGTCCGTTCTTATCGACATTCCGATCCTCGCCACCGTCTGCGGAAATATTTGTCTCTCATGGCCGAGGTGCGGAATGATTCCGCACCGGCGGCGGGCTCGCAGAGGAATCGTGCTCCGCGTGTCTAGCTGCTGATCGTCACACACGCTGCTGTTCCGACAGCGGCGACCAACGCTACACGACAACCATGGTTTCGCCGGCTTGGAGGAGTGGATCTCCGAGATTCTCGATCACGACTCTATGTTTCTTGCTGGTTGTGTACTCGATTCAGCTCCCGGTGGGCGATTCGCAGCACTCATGTTCGACTATGGGTGAAGTTTATCCTCAGGAGGCGATTCGCCGAGGAACCCACAACCTCGTCTGGAGTAAAGCTCAAAGTAAGTTGCAGAACTCTTATGGAACCCTTTAGCTCTCCCAAGATCGCTTTCCACTCTGCTGTCATACCGTGCGACTGCTCTCGTTTTTCTACGCTCATGCACATTGAACAGGCACTCGGGGTTCTGCAAGAAGTTTGGAGACAACTCCCGCGAGATCCCGTTCTTCCAACTCCCTCTTGGGAGAACGTGACACGGCCGGGTGTTCTTTTGTTTTGGGGCTGTTTATCGAGCTAATCTCGATCGACACTATTTTGGGAGAATTCTCGGCGCGGTCCTCGAGAATAGGAAGAATAATCCATTTTCCTGCTTGACGGCTTCTAGCAATTGTGACTGTGCGCCACGACGGCAAAACGTCATAAGCCAATCTTTGATAAAACATTCTCTCCCGGAACCTTATGCCACGTCAGATATCCTCAGCCCCAAAAAAATATGAGGCTCTCAGAGAATATGCATGTCGAGGAGACACGGTAGCTCGTGCGCCCGAAAAACCACCGGAGAGCCCCTCCGAGCGTTCTCGTACAGCTTTCCAACGATGCGACCCTACTGTTCATGAGTCTGAAGTTCGACCCGTTCACTCCCTACAGTTTCGAAACCAGCCCCCAACTTCTCAGCTCAAGCGATAGTCGATGGAGAAATCCGAGAAGTGAAGCTTAGTGACTACAAAGGCAAATACGTGGTGTTCTTCTTCTATCCTCTGGACTTGTGAGTTTTCGGAATCGTGGATAAATTGTTCCTCGGGAGGACGGCAAGAGGCTGACGAGCGACTGACGGTCAATTATTATTCCAGTACATTCGTTTGCCCGACGGAAATCATCGCTTTCTCGGATCGCGTGGCGGAATTCCGGAAAATCAACACCGAGGTCATCGCCTGTTCTGTGGATTCCGCATTCACCCATTTGGCTTGGGTGAAAACGCCTCGAGAAAAAGGTGGTCTCGGAGATATCCAGATTCCCCTGCTCTCTGATCTCACGCACCAAATTTCGAAGGTCAGTAGTCTCGCTCTCCCAAGAGCTCTATAGAGTTCGTAGCGATCCGAATGGATCGAGAGCACTACGTCAAAGTGTTCACTCGTCTAGTCTACGATGGACATAGTTGAATGAATCATAAGCTCATTCGGGCAATTCCAGGACTACGGAGTCTATCTTGAGGATCTTGGTCACACTCTCCGGGGGCTCTTCATCATCGATGGAAACGGCGTATTGCGCCAGATCACCATGAATGATCTCCCAGTTGGACGTTCAGTCGATGAGACACTCCGACTAATCCAAGCTTTCCAATACACGGATAAACATGGCGAAGTCTGCCCCGCCGGCTGGAAACCGGGGAAAGATACGGTTCGTCTGCTCACATCATCCAATCTGTGTCGAATGCAAACCCATATTTCCCTGAATATCTGGATGCGTCGACTCGGCGGACGACGATCCGACAAGCAATGAAGGAAATCGCTTCGGTTTTGCAGATCGTGCCGAATCCGAACGACAAGCTGAAATACTTCTCGAAACACACCACAGCCGAACTCTGAGCTGAGCTACCCACAGAACGACACGGGATCATCCAAGCTCAGACGGACTTCACGGTATCGGGAAATCTATCATCACCTTCGCGTTTTCAGGGAAGAATGATGAAAACATGGGCTTCGGAGAATCTCGGAGAGATATGAAGTTCAGCTACGGGGAGTGCTCGTCCCCAGATCTCAGATTACGATATAATAAAGACGAAAACATCGTGAAAGTCTAAGTTTTTCGCCTGCCTCTGACGGTCTTGATAAGGCTCAGACCGGTTTTTTCTTGATAGGATGTCATACTCTCTCTGTAACTGCTGCTTGACGCACTCTGCAGGGGCGGGGCAATAACCCTATGATGGCGGAGTTCACCAAAGTGGAACAACTCCAGCATATCCGAATCCACTTCATTAGGCCGAACGATTGAGAATGGCGGATGAACTTCTCCCGCGAGTTGAAAAGCCGAGAACCAAGATTCCGACTCGTCTCTCGGATTGTAAGCATTGAGGGTCCTCTCGCTCTGAGCACCGAAGGCGGAGCTGCATCCGTTTGCTTCGTCAACTAATGGAGTTGATTCTTCGGACGCCCCTGATGCCTGAGGTTGTCGACTGCGCAGGCTTGGCAGGACACTGCGGGGGGATTCGTCAACTTGACATCATCCTCAATATGTTCGGGAGTCGTCACGTTTATTTGTCGCAATCGAGACTTTCCGAGGAGCCTTTCCTTTATTCGAGGAGCTCATTTAGCCGAACACATTCAGGGACATGATGTGATAGGGGTCAGGGCAACGTATCGCGGGAAGTTCTTCTACTGTGCGATGATGGTTCCTGAACCTTCGGGATGGAGAGAATCACACTTCATACTAGAAGATCCGGCTCCGGTGCTTTAGACGCCGGATTCGACGCAAAGTACTGCAGTGGTGAAATTGTTGCGGGTTGATCCGTTGCTGTGGGATGCCCTGCTGCTGCTGCGGCTGGAGAATTGACGACGTAGGCCAAGCTGGGACCCTATAGCAGAGGGAGATAGGATCACAACCGACCTGCAATTCGGCCGTCAAATGCGTCGTTCGGGACTGAAGAGCTTCTGCTTATGCACAAAACAGAGACACGAGGCATACTTACATTGCCCCTCGGTCTGCTCATTTGAAGGCAAAACTGAACGCACCCGAAGCAACAGCAGCCGAAGACGATTAGAACTGCGGTTTCCGGGGATTGCTTCAGGTTAGAGCATGTGGGAGTATACCAATCGAAAAACGCTCACCATGAGGGCAGTAAGGGAGGCAGGATTCCCATCGAGTCCGATAGCAGGAAAATTCCGCATGAGAACGGAAAACTTTCGAGAGAGGCGGAGGCTATCATCACTCACCGAGGAAGGCACCGAGGATCTCAAGGAAAACTACCCAACTAAACCACATAATGCGAAGATCGACTTGGGCTCTAACGAAGTTAACTCAGGCTGACCGGACTTCGACGGCGAACCCGATCACTAAGTGATCAATATTCGAGCTAATTCTCGAATGCCCGATTCGAGCTCGTTCCGTTCCATGGGCTCAGAAAATTATCCGCTGATAATTTTTGAAGGATTCCGATAAGCAAATCGAGTCGCTCGACCATCATGCCTGTTCTCAATAACTGTGACTAAGGGTTGATTAATGTGCATGCTACGAAATGTTTTCGCGGAAGTCCGCGCGGAATCCCTCGCGGGAAAGAACCGTCGATAGCCCGCGATACGCGCGAGTCAGATCTGACTCGCTGGCAGCGGAGATAAAGCTCTTTCCCTCTCCTTATCGCGGATCCTTGTAGTACGCCTGACTTGTTCTTCAGCGGCGATCGACGGCTGAAACTCGGGATTCCGTATTCGAGGCAAGCGAATTGAGCACGCAGGACGCTGCTTCGTCTGACGGGTGCTCGATTTCTTGTCGGAGAGTACTTCTCAGGATGGAAGAGCAAATGATGACCCTTGTCGATTGATCGAAGAATTCGATTCAGCTAATGTGATCTCCGATGAAATTCTGTTTCCGATGAGGTATCCATATTCTGGGGGATGTCGGCCCGGGCAGACCCAGTACTTTGCATACCTCAAGGATCTGGAATTCATCCTCTCCCGGACGGATCTTCGGGCCATGTATCGTTGGAAGTCCGTTAGGTAAGTAATTTTGCGCGGGGTGGCCCACTGTTTTTCTTCATGAGCGAGGAAACTACGCTAAGGCTCCGCGCGATCAGTCGGCCGGAGCGGGAATTCCAGTGCCTCGACTCGGGATCCCTGCTAGCCATAGACGTGTTTCCACAGCGTCCTCTCTCCACAAGAAGATTCGCTCCGCGTAAAAACGCGACTTCTTCAAGGAGCAATGGCGACGCTGAGTCTCCATGAGCAGCTGGCAGAGCACATCGTGAGTGTATGGAACGCGTTTTCTCTCACGACGGCTCATCGATAAAAATCACCGTTCGTCAGACCCGGAATTCCTCCTCGATCCCTCGAGATAGCCATGGTAAAAACATAGATTTGCAACGCCTGTATTCATTGTATCCAGCATATCGGGCAAGAGCATGCCAAACTCACTCCGGAGGAAAAACTTATTGATTCGAATTGAAGACGAGAAACTCTCCGCTACCCCGCAGGTCTGGCTTCTCGTGCAGTTCGTCGCCTTTTCGATTCTGACCTTTGCTTTATGGAGACGTCTCGGAAGGAAGTCGAGGATAGCACTGGGAGAACACGAATGGATTCTGATAACTGGTTGCGACTCCGGCATTGGTTTCGCCTTATCTGATCGTCTCGCGCGGTCAGGCTACAAAGTCATCGCGACGTGTCTGCATCCCAGCGGTCCAAGTGCGCGAGCACTTATTTCTCACGGCGTGGAAGTTTTCCGACTGGATCTGATGGAGAAAGATTTAGAAGTTTTCGGGGGTGAGGTTGAAAATTTCCTTAAGAAGAATTCCGGGCGACTCCATGCTCTGGTCAACAATGCAGGGGTTTGTGTAATGGGGGAATTCGATTGGCTCACAGAGCAACAGGTGGATCTTGTTTTCAAGGTCAACCTAGGCTCGATGCGAGTGATTCGGCTACTGATGGATCGCATTGTCGCCGACAGATGCCGTATAATCAACGTGACGAGCGTCAACGGTATAATCGCCTATCCCGGTCTGTCGGCTTACTGCGCGAGTAAATCGGCTCTTGAAAGCTTCAGCGATTCCCTCGCTATGGAGCTTGAGAAATTCGGCGTTCGAGTCATAAAAGTGCGACCTGCGGATTTCGCCAAGATTACGTCGATAATGTCAGCCCAGGATGAGCACACGGAGCGAATGCGGCAGAACCTATCGGAAAGCAAGAGGCTGCGCTACGGAAACTATTTCGACGACTATCAGCGATTGACGAGTGAAATGGCCGGCCAGCTGAGCATGGAAAATTTCGATGGAATTCTGAAGATATTCGAAGATGCACTTTTCGAAGCGGAACCAAGGATAGCTTATAATTCTGGACACCGCTTCTACATTCTCGTCTGTCGACTCCTTTGCGTACTGCCTGAGTGTTGCCAGCGTTTCGTGGTGACATGGGCTTTTCGAAAAGTTCTGCGAGAACAGAATGTCGCCCTTCCGAATGAAATGCTCTGCCCACGTCGATAATAATCAAAATCGTCTCGGACAAGGGCGGTGAACTGTGATACTGAAGGGAAGCCTGCCAAGTCAGCCAGGAGGCACCGTGGACTGCTGAGATCGTGCTGCTGGGGGGAGATTCTAGCCCTTCAAACTCAGACCTCTTGTTGGGAAGAAGCGAGCGGAACTTATCCGGAAAAATGTATCGGATAGGATTTTATTATTGAAAACTCAAGGTAAAACAATATTGGAAAGCTACCAGAAGGCGAACTCATTGGTCGACAATAGAATGTCGCCGAGGAACAGGATCGGCTGGGGCTGAATAAAATGCTTGCTCAAAGTAGTATCAGTCAATGTCTTAGAATATTTGGTCGAAAACCTCGGGAGCGAAGTCATTAATAACTCCAATAGACATTTCAGATTCACACTTTGATTCACATCGCTGGGAAAAAGTCTTCCATAACTATAACGTAGCCTCGCCGCTGTTCTCGTTCGCAAATAGCATTCTCCTGCGGACTCTGATAATCCTTGCGAAGCTATTCAAGGAGGCGAGTCGCTTATACTCGTTGGTAAAATATCACGCGTCGGGAACGTCTCGACGAAAATCCTATCGAGAAGTTCTTTCCTTCTACTTCTCCGTCGCTAGTCGACAACGGTAGAATTCTCGCCGTGACGTCGAAATGTATACCGTAGGACAATCGATCGTTCAGAATGAACACTCCGTCAGTTTTCGACGTTCGGCAGGGTCTAGCCAGATCACGAACACGACAAACTCGTTAGAGTACATCAAGTTACAGTCAGAGTTTGTCGGTCAGAAGCAGCTCCGAATATATAGTTTTATGTAATGGGAAAGTCTCCCGCCCACAGTCCCCGTTCCAGTCATCGCTATTCAAACTGAAACACATGACTCCGGCGAACTGGGATTCTCGGATGAACTTCACTTTGGCACGGATTGACTCTGCGTCGTCGTAGGAAATCCAGATGTTGTCCGAAGTGATCACGTATGGCGACTGCGAGCTCCTGTCCCAGAACATCCGTCCGGAATTCGTCGACAAAATGTTCAAGACCTGAGGAAAGAGGGGAAAAGCTCCGATCAGTCCCTGAAGGCATGAAAACGCCCGATCCATGATCTCTGAGCGCCCAGATTCCGATGATTATTGCTCGAGGCCCCGATATTCACGGTACGGTTTCCGAGAACAAACCTTGGGATACGTGGTGTAACCACCGTTAGGGCCGGCGCCGATGGCTGGTGAGAAGGGTTTCTGCCACCGGCTCGAGAGGAGTTTCCAAGTCAAGCCATACGTAGGAACTCCAACAACTAACTTGTTCTTTGGCAGGCCGCGTTTCGCCCAGAGTTTTGCGCTGAAATTCCAGAAAACTCAATGTAGTTATTCCAGGGCACCCGATTGGATCGGAAGGGAAGGATGAGGATTTCGTCGGTAAGTTCAGTATTCACGATTTTTCGTGCGCTGATTCCAATTCGGGCGGGCTGCGCTCCAGGAAAAATCGAACCTGTGTTTGATATTCAGCGTTCTGAAGTAGGAAAACTCTTTTCGCCGAGGCAACAGCGGTGCGTTGTGACCGGTGAAGGGTAGGTACCATTTGAACAGGTGAAGATCGTAAGTCATTATCAGAACAAGATCAACAGCCCTGGAAGCGGTATACAGCTCGGTCATTCTCAACCCTCTCGAGCAATGTTGTTAATCGCGCATCGAGAACCCTTTCGCTCGTTGTGTTTGCTTCCATCTGGCATCGGGCGGTCTATCCTGTTCGTACGAACTACGTTCTCTGACTCACTTCGCTATCTTAGGAACATCGTATCCTTTGCTGACTAATGGGGATTGGGCAGGAACAGCTACGGTCAGCAAGGGTTTCATCGGATGATTGTCGAATCGTTCTCGGAATATCTCGAGGAGGGAAACGAGCCCAGCTCGCTCTGTCGAGCCAGAGGGAAACTCCCAGTCGAGATCGACTCCATCGAGACAGTACTCCTCGATCAATGAGATTGTAGAAGAGACAAATCTGAAAGCAGGAAGGATTCCTTCATTAATTTGGCCTCCTCGCAGACTTCGAGCCGAGTACGTCATTCGAGCTGAACGATTGGGAACTTTTTCTATAGATTAGCTTTTGGAATAAATCAAACATTCACGCTATCTTACGTTTCGGTTTTCTCTTCGCTTCTGATCATTGGGCCAAAGCCTGCACCATTGCCACCGCCTCCGACAGAAATCAGGACCTTCAGTGAGGGATTTTTCTTCTTGAGAGCTACTACAGACTTGATATTCTGTTCTCCAGAGAGTTCCCCTTCGCCGATACGGCCGTCATCTCGCACTTCACAGAATCCCAGGATGAGATGAGTGATGAGAGATACATCTTTGAACAAACAAAAACAGCTTAGAGTCAGTTTCCGGATATTCGCACGAGAACAATTGGCTGACGGTTCCGGGAGCGAGAGCGTGACGAGCTCGGCGTGGATCTGTGCTCAAGACGGAGCAACAGCGGCCAACTCACCTATCTTTTCCGGTTTGAGTCCATTCTGGAGCCATCGGTAATAACTCACGATCACCTTGTCATCGCAACACATATCTCCTGAGGAAAGAAACGATCCTGATCATTCGTCGAACAAGAAGCGGAACGTGGGAGAATACAGGAGAAGAGACCTGACATCTCTCGAAGGGTCGGCTGTCAAAGCCGGTCGGTGAGTCTCCGTCCAGTCGACACTATCAACATCCGTATGAAAGATATCTGGAGGCCACCCCGCGGAGGTTTCCACTCTCCATCGATGAACGAAAGACCTGGATGGCTTCCCTGCGAGCTTTTCTGACGTTGGGCCGACTGGGGGCGTTATCACTCGCTCATTCCGCTTCTGCCGAAACACGGCAGTCACTGACAGGCCTCCGGACTCCTCTGACATTCCCGGTGGTTGAACACTCGTTAAACTAACTCACTATTTGCCATATCGCTGACAGATATGTGCCGAGTGTGCATGGATTTGCATGGGGAAAACGAGCCGAGACCACCTGCGACTTGTGTTGGATTTCCGGATGGACACTAGCGAAGTTTTCCCTCCTCACCCAGTCACCTACTTTTCTGACACGGCACTGTTAGCGCTGGTCGTCACAATAGGACGATCAAAGAGCAAACTTACAAGAGCAGTGGAGTAGAAGCGTTCCGCTGGCACGCCGTACAGCATCCGATACACCTTCCCGAATCTCAGAGACGCCTTCGTACGAGATAAGGAATCCGGACGACAGCTGGTACAGATGATGCGACTGATCCGGGGACGAGTCGAAGCCTCGGTGGGCGAGAGATCCGATCACGAAGATCTGTACGCTGCTGTCGTCAGTCTTGGAACATCTGCCTCCGCTCCGTCCATTCAAAGAAGATGGGCATTTCGCCCACGATCTCTTACGTTCCGGAAATGAGTAATTTGCTTGAGAAGCGATGGGAACTGAGCTTCGCTGAACTTGAAGCCGCTGTCGAGCCTCCACTTCAGCGGTCTTCCCCACGAACACCCTTCGATTAGGGCCATGGGTTCTCGCCGCGGTATCGATTGGTTCGACTCGATTGAGAAGGGAAGGAAGGAAATGTTCATTAGACAATCCGGGGAATGAGGGAACCGACGCTCTTCGGAAACCAATCGAAAGTGCAGGCGTATGGAAGTGGCGAGAAATTCCGGAATCTTCGGGACACAATCAAGGAACTCCCTCTGGATTTGAATCCGTCATTCGAGCTCAAGATGCTCCCTAGTTCGAATCCTGTTGAACCCAATCATTCGCCGTCAGAGCCGCGACTGACGGGGAATGTCGCGCGACGTCAGAAGCTGAATCAACGCATCAACGCTTTGCCGTTCCGGAGGAACCAATTGGAAACGACACGGTGGAAGGAAAAACTATTTTTCTGCCATTTGTTCTTGACGTCGGAATATCCAGCATCGAGGTTTCTTTGGAATCCTGTCGGACGGTCGCTACGAGGGAAAGCGACTGATCAGCAGCGCTTGACTGGCGGGGACGGTGCATTTCCAAGAGCCCGGCCGCCAAGCCGCTTCGCCCCTTTCCGCTTTCAGAATCCCCGCGATTGATCTCCGTTTGTGGAATTTCACTCTCAGGTGCTCCTCTATGACTCCCCGTTGAATCTCTCTGCGCGAAGGAGCCAGCACGGCCCCGAAAGCTCTTGCTCGCGGCGAGGTTGGCTGTATGGTAGTTCGCTCGCTAAGGGATTGGGGGTCTGTAGGCTCGTCCCGCTTGAAGAGTGTCTCACGTAGATCCGAGATCGGAGTTGCCCCCCTCCCCGGAAAAACCAAGATTCTACTCTCCGGAATACTCTAGCAAAATCAGTCTCTACCAACACAGGCTACGCATCGGGTCGGACGATCCGAAACGGCGCATCACGCCCGCCTTTTATTCGCTTCGACAGATAAATAACTTAGAAAGTTCCTCCGTTGTAACCCACGTTGGACGGCTGAAGATCGACGAAGTTTATGTACGACCTGAGGAAAATGCCAAAGTGTGAGTCGAAGACCGGTCATCGTCCGGCGAGCCGGAATCGCGGTTCCGAGAGTGGTCGACGTACCTGTCCGGTGCAATCCCCAGGGATGACTCCAGAAGAGCGCTCAGTTCCGATGAGGACTTCTTATTCGCCGCGCTGGAAATGCTGCCGATAGATGCGAGAGTGCAGGATGCGCAAGGTAATTGGGCATCACCTCCGAAAGAGAGTTGCTGCCCAGCATTTACGTGAACCGCCACATACTGCAAGGAGATGTGAATCACGCTTTGAGATTAGCTCTCTACAATGGCGAATGGCGATCGAGCGCTTGTTCGAAACCACCCAAAGGTACTGTTTCGAGGTGTTATCTCCGGATCCGACTTTCAATCTCCCGCATGATTGTCAACTCAAGCGGGAGTCGATTGGTTCATATACTATACCGATGCCGGTTTTTTCAGACATTTCGCCACCGCATCCGTACAAGCCGAGAGGAAATCCTTGGGAATTTTCTCTGACGAGACGTTTGTGTTGATCGTGAATACAGGCATTTCACGGAATCCTCAAACAGATGAGTTCGGAGTTTTGAAGCAAAAGTCACAGAGTCTCCCTCAGAGAATGGAACGCGCGTTAGCACTGCTACGGAATTCGACTTGCCGATTCCCATAGAAGCTTCGTCGACGGGAGAGAAGTTTCTCCGACAAGGGGAAGGAATCGACTCGTGCCTCCCATCGAGGAGACGGACACCTGGAAAATTCCCTTCCGGATATTCGGACGAGTGTCCCTACTTATTTGTTCACGAGAGCTCTAACAAGAGTGACGCCGTGGTCTGAATGAGGCTTCCATGTTCGTTGGACGAGCAGCAGACGACCGAGCGGCTGATCGCCGAGCCGCCGAATGAATTCGAACGACTTTTCAGGATTAAGCATTTCTGTCATCAATGCCGGTGATCCGTGTGGTTTGATATGTCGTTGAAAACAGTTATTGCTTCAGTCTGCTAGTCCACGCCGGAGGAGAGATGTGTCAATGTCGTCACAAAAAACAAGTGACAAATCTTCGCCAAGGAAGCGTTCTCCGCGCAAACAAGTCAGGTGGCCAGTTAAGAAAACCTCCGATGGAAAGAGACAGACTTCGAAACCTCAAACGAGCAATGCCGGAACGCAGAGAACTCTTCAGCATTTCTTCTCGAAGCAGCGAGAGAAGTCCGAGACTACAACTGCTCTCCAAAATAACGGGAGTCAGAACGCACCCCTCGAGATATTCGATAGTAGTGACGATGACGTCGTTGAGGAAAAGTTCGAGGACAAGAGAAGAGTTGTGAAGAATTTATTTAATTTCTCTCCGGATGTGAACGGTCCAGTCGGAACCGATGGTGAGATGAAAATACTGAAAATTGAGTCGATACAAGAGCCTGGGCCACAGAGCACGCAAATTCCGCAGGGTGTCGTTCTGTCTCCGATCAAGGAGCCGAACATCGATTTCCATCGAGACGACACCGATGAAATTATGGGAGCTCTGCCCGACATCAAACCGGAGAAAAAACGTATTTGGACACCCGAAGCCGATACTTTCGCAAAGATATTGGAGGAGACTCTTCAATACAACTTGTTCTGTGAGGACGATCTCAATTTGCTGAGGAACTTCAAGGAGATCAACAAGCAAACCCAAGATATTTGCCTCCGATTGTATCAGCGAAAACACCAGTGGATTCCCCGGTCCAGAATCACATACGCAGTGGAGGATATAGAGGCTAGCTTGGCCGAAGCGGTCGCAAAGGGATTTCTTGATGACAAGTCAAAAGTGGACGATTTGGATCTCGTATTGAACTTGCTACCTCTCAAGGATGCCTCAGCTCTGGCGCGTAAATTCTGCGATCACAAGTCCTCGACGAAATCCGGTGCCGTTGAAGCGCTCTTGGCTCATTCGAAACGGAAAGATGTTCTCTTCGGGTCGCAACGAATCCGTCTGAGTATTCTGAGAGGTGCTCAAGAATTATTGGAGCAATGTTACTTCGTCGTGCCCCGATTCGCCGAAACCGTCACGAGGGTTCTTACGTTGTTCTCGCTCGGAAGCCATTTCGATACCTTCTCATCGGCTGTCGATCGTAATGATCACGGCTGCTGTCATCTTTTCACTATCGGCCAGTACCTGAAGGGAGCCTTTACATTTCCCGAACACGAGACCCAAGCTCTTTTTGAGCATATATTCAAAACGCCACAAGACTTCATGCTGTATAGCGATGCGCGCGTCCGCAACTCCCACGTATATAAAGCGGTGGAAAGCAATAGATTCGATGAGGCGATGGAGAAATTCGAAAAGAACTTCGATTGGTTCGTATTGAACTACACAACCCAAAAATTCGAAGAGGACGCCAACTTACCTCTCTACCTCCATCGGTTCACGTTCACTTATTGCTTTTTGAGGTTCCTCATAACCGGAGCAGAAATCTTCGAGCGTCAGCGGAGGTACGAGGATGCCGTAGATCTCTACTTCACTGTCCTCTCTCAGACGTCATTCATGCACAACCGTCGGGGTCTTCATTGGAATCGACTCTTGCTTGACGTTGATGCTCATCTCAAGAAACCCCACAACTCGCTGGCTCTAGCTCATATTGCTCTACGTGATTCGATATACGATCAACAAAAATACGATATACTCAACAGAGCCAAGCGGATTTCCGAAAGATTCCAAGTGAAAACGTCCCTGCCCAAGTTCGTCGTCGCTGCCGAAGCGCCAATAGAACACATCAGCGGTAAATTAATGCAGAGAGCAATCATCGGAAGGAGGAACGTGTTCGCTTCGGTCGACGCCAACGGAGAGAGAGTAGTCGGACCGGAAGAAGTCGCTATCCAGCATTACTTGAACGAAGGATTCTCCAGGGGCGTTCATGGCGAGACTCCGACGATGTTGATGCTCTTCGCCCTAGTCAGCTGGGATATCATCTTCAGTTCGCCCTCGGAGACGGTGCCTGTCGCAACGTCGCCCGAGAAATACGTGGCCCTCGTCGAATCAACTGAAGCTGAAGTCATAAAAGAAGTTTTCTCCATCGACCTCGAAGAGACCGAGGAAGAGCAGAAGCCGACGACAAGAAAACGTAAACGTGGACAACCGAAAAAGAAGAAGAACGATTTCCGAGCTGTGAAGCCCTTAGAGCACGGTGTCAGATTTTACAAGCCTGTCGAATTCCCGTCCGTCACGCCGGCGTCGAAGAGTCAGGACTTCCGACAGACGGTCTATGTTTCTGAATTCCAATCTGGCCCACTTGATCTTGGTTATAAAGAGTTCTATCACAACAGAAGACGAGCCGTAGACGACTTTTTGGAGTTGTTGAGCCAGATGACAACCGATCAGATTATTTCGACCGCTTCGAATAATTATGAAAGTCACAACCAGAAGGTCAATCCCCTTTTCAGCTGGGAGGTATTGACAAAAGAGGAAGCAGAGACTCTCCTATCTTGCATTCCCGTCGGAACATTGGTGGGAATTTTCCGCCAGCTCCTGACGGATTTCAGATTTTATCGCTCAGGCTTCCCCGATATAATCATGTGGAACGAGCAAATTCGGAAGTGGAAGGTAATTGAGGTGAAAGGACCGGGGGACACTCTTTCTACGAAACAGAGATACTGGATGCATCTCCTCATGTCTCTGGGAGTCGATTGCGTAACATGTCGAGTTGCTTCCGTTCATAATAAGAAAATAGAGCCGAAAACTGCCGATTAGTTTATGGATATCTTGTACATAAGCCAGCTGACTGAATCAGGTACTCGAAGTGGAAGCCTCATTTTATCCTGTGATCTGCAGCAGTATGGGTGGAAAGTAAGGAGAGAATCAACGAGCGGATCTCCTTGTGAAGGAAACAAATAAATTACATGGTTTATGATGTTGAGATGAATTTCCAGCATCCTCGTTCAGAATCATTGGTCGACTTATGCTATCACGCAATCCCCGTGATTTGACGATCAGACACGTCATTTGTATATCGGGGTCTCAACAGAGTCTCTTCGACTCGGATCGGACCGGAATCACGGGTCGCCGTCGCTGTGACCAGGGGGATTCTCCAAGGGCCATGGAGTTTTGATCCCTTTGAAGAAGTCGATCGAATGAATAACGTAATCCTTGCGTCTCTTGTTGAAGATGTAGTTTAGGTGGGAGAAGCGATCGTCGTCGATGCGATGGATGTTCTCGGCGGGTATTCCAATATCCTCTGCTATTTTCATTGTTTCCTGGAATCGGAGGAATCAGCCGGCTAGTGCTCGATGCTAGAGGATATCGATAGGATCGGTGGCGAATTCCGAATAGTGTCGTCTCGAGTGAGATGGTGGGAGATCACGGAGACTCTACGCAAGGTGAATTATCATTCTCTCGAGTCCATTAGGCTAAATCGGGACTGACCTGTATGGGAACCAAGTCGTCTCCGTCGCTGAAGTACAACTTGATTGGGATTCTTATTCTGTTCGGATCCAGAACGGGGGGCTCCTCGCTGCCGTAGCGGTCCATGTTCCTGGAGGTCCTCAGATTGAGATACAAAAGCAATCGGGTGAAGAGTCCACGATCGTAATCGAACTCTCGCACTGAGCCATCGCAGTTCATTCCTCGACTCTGTGGGGAAGTCAAACTTGTTATATCATCAGAGCTCTCCTTCCCGTGGGCGGCCCGAGCAGGACCCTGCCCTTGAGCACGAGCTGTAGATTCCCGTGCGAGAGCAGCTTATTTCTAACAGAGAGATCGCATCGAAAGCTAGATCACAAAGCTGTTTCCTGTTGAGTATGGATACTGACCTGACCGAAATACACGAAGTTCTTCAGAGACGTTCCCGCTGGCATGTGCTCCATATAGACTCCAAAGCGCGTCTTGAATATGAGGTTTCCGTCAGAACTGATCCATCCACGCGCCCGTCAAGCGTGATGCGCAATGAAACTTACAACATTGAGGTAGTGATGAGAGCTGAAGAGGGCGTAATTGAAGAATAAGCCACAGAGAGTGCTCGCTCGAGCGCAAACCCGATCCACCATCGACGAAGAATGAGGACCCACCAATGCGAGGGCTTCGAACTTCAGAAGTAGGTCCTGGAAGAATTCGAATGAATGCCATGACGTGGGTACCTCGTGCACTCCGCTTGGTAACGACTTGGATCACCCCTTTAAGCTACGCGACAGAACTTGGGACTTCGCCGATAAAGGGCCACGACCCTTAATTCCTGAATTTGACATGCTCCAGAACGTCTGATGATGACTAAGCCGTGAATTATACGCGCGGAGATATTTCTGCAGATAGTGACACCTCACCGTGCAATCAATCAGATAGCGCGTTTCCCTAAATCTTTGATCGATCGAAAAAAAGGTGTCTCGCTTACCGTCACCGGCCACGTCAGAAAGTCAATGACTTGCACTGCGCGATTGAACGTGAAGCAGATGCTCCGGAATCCCCCGTACGATACCATGGCTTCAATTTTATCATTGTACGAGGGTCGTCTACTCAGCAGAGCAAATAAGGATGCGGCACCCTGAGACATTCCGACGAAGAACACCTAAAATTATGAGACTCGGTATAGTCTGGCCGTTGGCTACGTGCTCGATTGTTTGATCATAAATTCTAGCCCGAGCAGAAAGAATCCTGGCGGAATATCGCACGATTGCGGCACACGAGAAACCACTGCACTCACTCAGTCAGACCAAATGAAGGGTATGGAAATTCGGGCTTAGAGCCTCGTTGCCGGGAATCGAGAACTATGCTCTCCCGCAAAGGAGATTTGATGCATTTTGCATTTTTTCCGTAATTTGATAAGCGATAGCTTCTGCGACCGTCTCACCTTTTTCTCCCCTGTAGCTTCCAGAACGTAGTCGATCTGAGCGGATAGATCGAACTCTCCGATATCGACGAAGGTGTAATCGTAGAAGTCGAGCTTATCTCGCTCCGGGTCGAGCCTGAGGTGACGACGAGCGAATCTGTTGCCGCGGGCGTTCGTGAGCCAGACATCGAAACCGTGGTCAGCGAAAATGTAGGCTGGAATCGCGTGGAAAAGAATCGAAGAGGTAATCGAATGAACGGGAGAGCAACTAAACGTTCGAAGAGCCTAATATTCCCGACGATTTCCATCGAGGGAATCGAATATCATTCTGTTCGATAGAGATAGCTCTCTAAAAGAACACAATTATAACCTGGCGTGTTGTTCCTGAAGTCCGACATGATGGCCGCTGAGCTGAGGAATAGTGGAAGGCCGACAACAACTGGGGGTCGTCTTGCTTTGAATTTGGGGTCGAAAATTCTGTGGAGCTCGATTATGTATCCGTCTTCCGAGGTCACTTCGTGAGACTCGAAATGAAAACCTTTGCTCCGGGCGAGATCGGCCTACAGAGAGAATTTCTTAATTCCTAGACTGATGGAGAAACAGACTCACACAAGTGGATTGACATTCTAGGTAAGAATGTCCCGATTTCTTCGGACGAGTGCGTATAATAATAGATTCACGGGAGAGAGAGCAGGAAGCATCGAGTTCATTCGTATCATGAAGGAACCCATCGACAGGTAATCTAGCTTACCACAGTTTTTCCGAGGTCCGGATCGTCCATAATTGGGAGCGCGTAGTCCACGAGGGGGGTTATCAACTCCAAGCATGGGCCACCATTGGTGATATCATAGAGCACGATCGAGGTTGACAGAAACATTGCCACTACGGAGTAACAGAGGTACCGCAGGACGCGTCGACCCTTCGCGCTTCCTCTGGGCTCTTTCGAGGAACTCATTACGCCGAGTTAATGAGCGTCTTTCCGGAGTCACGAGATCACGGTACTGACTTGAGAACGAAGTGGAATTCCGTTGTCAAGAGAACTCTTCACAAAAGTCGTGGTGCGCGTCAAGATTCCCCGAGCTGCATCTCTCGTTAATTTTCGAAGACAAGCGATACACTACCGGTGTCCATCATCTAAACAATGGAGACGATTCCAACGAGGGGAATCCAGCAGGAGATACTCGTAACCAGCGTGGAGGATTATATCTAGAGCGAGTGGGAAGCCGGGACGCTGACGTATCGAGTGTACGCAATACCGCAGGGGCGCAATTGAAATCTCCCTATCGATCCTCGATTGGTCAACCGGATTCTAAACATTCTCCCGGCGCGATAAGTCCTGTCCGCGGGATATCCCGACAACGTGCACAACTCCGCTATTCGTGAAACGTGGGAGGGTTTGGAGAAAGTCTGTGGTGAGAGCTGAGATAAGGTTCGAGCTTAGAAACGGCGCAGCGTATCCCGTGGATCATTTCGCCGAGAACAAGTGTTGGAGAAAGAATCTCCCGGTGTGCTCTCATCGCCGCTATTTTGCGCATTCAAAGATTAGCTTATCGGAGTAGCGCGATGTCGGTCAGATCAGCGCGACGAGTATCAAGCGGTGAGAATGGCTCCTTTCTCGAAGTTTCTCAGTCCACACACAGCGTCGTAGCCCCGTACCATTGTGAGAGGACCTCACCATCGGGCTGATGCATTATCCGATCCGATAGTTCCGGAGGCACCGATCGCTGGTAGCTTGAGGCCATCGAAATCCGTTCGAGCAATCTGCCTCTTCTCAGGACAATGATTCCCCGGCTGGATTAGTCAGATCGAAAGACTTTGAGTTGGAAATTTTGAGTTTTTCTTCCAAATCCGTATCTGCTTTGCCGGGCCTCTCGATGAGATCACCGTGATTATCGAGTCCGGCCGCTCCAATGAATTGAAAGGCAGGAATTATTTCCACGAGAATCACTTTATTAGATCATATCTCAGGTTATATCGCGCTCCGTTGACTCTAATCTAGTGATCAGTTTGCGGTACGGCCGTGGAATGTCTCTGGCCGGCTCTTCCGAAATAAATAGAGGGTGTGATGATGACTTCATACCTACGTATCTATCAAGTGACTGATGGAGATGATAGGATATCGAGGGAGGCAGACTGCAATCCTTCCTCCTTAAAATCGGCAGCATTGAGAAAAGAAATCTGGTGGCACCATCCGTCCATTCAAGAGCTGCTTCCTGAAAGGGTGTGATCTCAATACGACACCATTCGATTACTCTGTAGGAGGATTCGGATACTTCCCGGAGCCAGATTCGGATCCCAAGATTCCGTCGGCCTCGGGATCTATTAATTAAATAATTTGAAATAATAATTTTTAGACGATTATGCATTGGGCGAGGATCCGTTGTCAGCTTACAGTAGAGGGTGCTCCTCGAAAGGCATGAAGGCGAGGAAACGATTGACGAAAGCTGGCCGGAAACGCAGTTGGTCCTCATTTATCAGCCTACAAACACATTATCGGGTATTCAACGGGGAAGAATCTTTTACCTTCAACGAGAGTCCTCGGGACTGAGTTTAGCCACTAACTTACGTCGGTGTTCTGGGCTTCGACCTGGGACGAGTGCCGAACCGCCTGCTCAGGGCGCCGTCCCTCTCGACCATATCGAGGAAGTTTTCAATGACGGCTTCCCTCTTCGTTTGCCGTCCTACGTCCTGCATACGCTCGCGTATATGCTGCCATCGGATTCGATTCGCTTCTTGAAATTGTCTTCTCTCACTCTTACGCAAGAGGAACGACGGAATTCTGTACGAAGGAATGAATTGAGACAGTCTCCGCAATGCGCTATCGAGTCGTTACACATAAGTGTTCTAGTTTCAGTTTAGAAGTGCTCAAACCACCTCGATGGCGTGTAGTCCGAAACGAGTTTCATGAAGTTGTGGAATTCGTCAGAGGAGAGATCGGCGCGAATTGCTAGTACTTGAAAGCGATGCAGAAGCCGTCTCAAGTTTCTGTTGCGAATCCTTTCTTGGTTCTGGGAGGCTCCCTGGAAAAATCTCTGCAAGGGAACGCTCTCGTTTGTTAATGAGAGACAAGAAGCCTGAGGTTCGGCGGAGGAATCGGAACAGGGAGCGGTTGTGTCAAAATTTCACGGGGGAAGAAGCTCGTGGCCAGAATAAATGCGCGGAGCTCAGGATACACTCATGCTAGGTCTGCAGAACACAGTTGGTTAATGCGGATTACGGCTCTTCCCATTGGTATATTTACCAGAATTTCTTTCTCAATGATTTCGTCGATCACTTCAGAAAGAGGTTTCCGCTTCGGAGGGGTGGGTTTTCTTTTGATGTTCACAACAGCTCCGTCCGGACTGTCGTCATATTCACTAGGAACGGCATGGGGAGTGGTGAACTTTCGGGTCGTCGATTGTGTACTGACAGCTGAAGCGGGTGAGCTCGTTGTCGATTCGGGAGCGGCCGGTGTCGTCGTCGTCGTCGATGTCGAGCCTGCGTCGAATGGCAATTCGCAAACTCGCCAGAGTACATTCTCTAGGATAGTCTATATCGATGGATCCGTAAATCTGAGTACGTCCGCCGAGGTACATCGATGGAAAACTCACGTTCTGTCGTGGTCGTTGGCGTATCCTCAGACTCTGGTATTCTGGTTGTTTGCGACGGGGTTTCAGTTTTCGCTCCTGTCGAGCTTTCGACGCTGTTGTCGATTCCTATCGAATTCATGTCATCGTCCGCGGCTTGGTAAATCAAATCTAAGGGAGATTCGACTGGCGCCGCTAGGGAGAGAAACGCCAGAGGATTATCCACGATGCCTCAATTCGTTGCGTTTCGGTTCTTTCGACAATAGATTCCCAATTTCGCTCACTTACCCGTTGCGCTGCTGATCGCAAAGGAGGGAGCAGAACGAACGGTCGCGATGAGAATCGAGCTCAACGCCAAGCATACCACCGCGCGAGCCATTGCTTCGCCGTGAACTTCTGATTTGAAGAAGCCACTGACTTCGCCAAGTGACCCGGTTCAATTGTGGCGAGAGGGTTCGCGACGAAAAGAGGAAAAGAGAACGAGCGTCTTACGTCTTGCATTTTCTCGAGGTTTCTGATCCATCGAACTCCAACAAGGTCACTGTCAATCGCTCCAAGGTTCGAGGACAGTATCGAAGGTCGGCGGGGAAGCAAATGGGTGATCGACCGTAACTTGTTCGAATATCGGTCTCGACTGGGAGAGTTCACCTTATCAAGATCCGAGGTTTGTGTTCCTCGCGCGGCATTCCGCTTTATCTACTCGCCGGTCAATAATCGTCTCGCTCCCTCTCGTTCAAATTATAAACAGCGACGCCGTTTCTCTTGTTCACGCTCTTCCCGCGTACTTCACGACGTTCGGCCGAAGCGGGCTATTCCTGGCGGGTCATCTGTTCGCGTTCAGGTTGAACATAGTTGCCGCATCGCGAGTCCGTCATTCACCCCCCCCCTCCCCCCAGGGTTTCCGACAGGAGAAGCGGAGCAATACTCGGTGTCGCGTGATGTTCGCGACGCTGAAATCCATCCCTGGGCGGAATGGATGCTCCAGATCGGACGATCTGAATCACAGTGAATTTGAAGTCTTCCATGACGAGCTCGGGAGCGGTCCCTCACACGAGGGGAGACTGACGCGCTAGATGTTGTGAGCCGGGTTTACGTAGAGCCGCTTCCCGAGGACTTCCGCCGTGCATAGTAGTCGTCCCATCGCGTACCAGCGGGAAAGGACGCCGGGAGCTCGGGGGAAGTCGGAGGGAGAAGCTATCTCCATCGAGAAGGTTCTGTTCTCGAAGAATTCGTTCGGAGATCTTATTCGATCGGCACGCTCTAGATAAGCAGACCAATCGCTTTCTTCCGAGCTCTTGGCATTCATCGGGAGCGTAGTTTCCTCGAAAGGCTCTCTCGGCTCGGGTTTCATGCAGATTATTCGTGGAGACGAAACTTGGAGAGAAAGAAGAAAGAGTTATTTTTACTCGAGAATCGTTGTCCGTTTCCCCCGCCAAAGAATTTGTAGCTTCCATTTCCTGTTAGGCGCTGCTGCCGCTCAAAGCAACCTTGTCTTTTTTGGTGCTATTTCCTTTCTTTATTCGTATCCATCTTTTTCCTGTCTCTGCTTCTTATTTTTCAAAAGTAGTAGCACCGCTTGCTCGTTCGCTGACTCGGCTTCTCCCTGAAAATAGGCTAAAATATTAAAATAGGTTTTCTTTCCACATGCGTAGGACCGGCATTAACAACTGTCGGTAGGTACTCCAAGAGTGAAGAGGATTCGGAACGTTGGCGGAGATTAAAAGGTAGGTGATCGCTCTCTCTCTCGTTGAGGTCTACGGCGTCCCTCTTCCGGCTATCTCGGGAGAACGAATTCATGATTTCTCCGAAAGGGGAGAGAAGTGATTCGGTCGAATCGCCCTCGTATCGTGCCCTCGACGCCCACGAGGAAGGCTGCGAAATCCCAGCCGTCTCCAGACAACTCGGCGAATGATGGAGAGCTTGCGGTCAAGTGAGCAATATTAGAAACTGGAAATCAGATCAACCGATTCCTAAAAAGCTCGAGGATGCGTGACCGAGTGCTTAAGCGGATCGGAATAAAAAACCCTCATGACGGCTCACAGTGTCCCTCGAAGAGTCTGAGTGAGTCCCCGGATTCGAATCAGCTCCGCCTTTGTAGATCATTCACAGGAATGCGCTCCGAGAAGTGGGAATCTATGGACCCGTGTCTATTCCTCGAGTTCTCCGAAAAGGACCGTCGACTAGTCCGGCAGCAGCCAGGGGAGGGCTGAGGCCGACGCTGGACAGGAGGGCATCGGAATCTCTTCCGGACGGCACCCGATCACGCCATTCGGTTCCAAGTTCCCGATCGCGTAGGGAAGTTGGTCTGAATAAGCAGCCCGAAGTGATCACGAGTGTATGAAGAAGGAGTAAGAACGTTTGTTACCGTAATGGTGGTCGTCATAGGGGATTCAACAATTTTCTCATTGTGTTCGTTCATCTGAACGGACTGGTCCCTCCCAAGCGCTCCCAGGCTTCACCCCGAAGTGTAAAAAAGGCTTTGAATTCATTTCTAGCTGGCGTTTTATTTTTTAGCTTCGCCCTCTTCTTTTGTTCATCGTTGGACGAGCGAGTGAAGCTCCCGAAGCGAGATCGTGTGTGAGCGCTCTATGTAGCTACGATATGTCTGTACGAATCCATGTATGTATTCAGCATGCATTCAGGCAGGCGAGCTTGTGCGAGTGCAAAATGGTGAACGACCGACCAACCGCTCAGCTTCAGCACCCGCCGCTTGTTGTAATCTCTTCTCCTCGTTCCCATAGATCCACAACACTCTCAGCGGCTTTAGTTACATTCACATCTCGACGCAATTCTCATCATACACTCGAACATCTTGCACCTCTCGCTCGTTCCCTGGCCGGAGACGGGCGGCGTAATGAGACTGGGAGCGCCTTTAAGATCGAGTGCGTAGTTCGCTCATAGGTTCAATTGAAAAAAGATCCAGAGCTGGGGAACTTCCGCTTCGACACATGGAAGCGGCACATCTCGGGATCGACATTTCGACTGGAATCCTTTCGGCAATTAGTCCAGTTCATATGTCGGCCTTCGTTTCTTTGAATTCTCGTCGTTCTATTCCGTCTATTTCCCTCCTCGCGTCCTGCTTCTCCACGGAGAGTAAGTCCGAAACGCCCGTATGACATGAAAATGGAAGGCTTCCATGTCCCTCTAAAGCTCGAGACCCATGTTCATGGTGCCCGAAATTCAGTCGGGGTATCGATCATGAGCTTCCAGCGCGCTGGTTGATCTGCTCCCTAGGAAGAATTTCTCCTCTAGAGTGCATTGTACGAAATCTCAAGCACCTAACGACATTTTCACCGCCCACTGAGAGAATTCGCGGAAGACTTCCGCAGAAGTTCATGGTGTAGGTGCGAACTCGGCTCCCTCGCTAGGATGGTAGCCACGAATTCCTTTGGGTGACGTACTCGGTCGGACTGCCTGCAGCTTTTTAACTTAACAACAAATCGATGACAGATCATTCATTCGCGACTCGCTTGCTTCTTAGCCTAATGGTTCCTGCTTCTTCGAATGAACATCAGAGAAAAACAAGCTCAGAACTTCTCGAAATCTATCCCCCGCTCTCCTTTTCTCGCGCGCTTTTTGACGTGGCGAAATCTGCCCAAGGAACACAAAAGGCGATAAGCCGACGCGATGTGAGAGGAGCGTTTCTTTCGGGGAATAATCTCGATTTTCAGAGTTCGCCGCTGCTCTGATGCGCCGGAAATATTTTTTTGAAATCACTCGTTCTCCTGCGTATGGGAATCCGATTCCAGCTGGGTGAGCAGAAAGTGATCATAAAACGGGTTTATATCGATTGGATAACGTGTTGAATGCAAGCGCGGAACATTCTGTGAGAAGCTTGATTTATCTCAGCCGCACTTCGTTAGTAATAGCTTGTAAGCGAGAGGTTCGCCTAAAAACTGGTTGAATCTCGGTTTGCAAGCTGACCGATGCCCCATCGCCTCTCGTATTGAGAAAAAAAATCATGGGAACCGCAGCAGAGAAGTAGCTGGCTCTACTGATTGACTGGCTGTAGCCTGTACTAATGCTCCTTCTGCGGGCTGTACATTCACACACTCTGAGGCATTCAAAGACAGACACCCGAAGAGCCGGAGTCAAACAAAGTGCTTGAACTCCGCATTCTTGGAGCGGTTCGTTACTTGTCCAACGCTCGCACAATATCCGAGCCGTTCGTGTGTTCATTTCGATCCGCGGTACTCGCGATCCTCGATTGGGGATTTGCGCGAAGCACCGAAGCCCGTCCGGCGGAACGTCCTGTTTTTACGTTCTGGATAAATGGATCAGGAACAGATGATTCTTTCCAGAGAGCGATGGTCGAGTTCCGGAGCCTCGCTCAACGACGACATCTCTTGCCGATTCCACAAAAGGAGTCCATATCGGCGCTCTCAAGCCGAAAAACTCTCCAAGTTCCGTGAGACCCGGCCTCCGGCCCGAAACTCGTGTTGAATTCCGCCGATCTCGTTATAAATCATTGAAGGTGGGTCTCCGTCTCGCCACTCGTCGTTATCGCATCGGCGAGTCGATAATTACAGAGGACAGCGAGGAAGCCGTTGTTTTTTCTCAGGAGACAGTTTCGATCAAGTGTGAGTTATCAAATCGAAGACATTCATTCCGCATACCAGATACTGATCTATACTGATTCCGCGACCGGCGGACCGACCGGCAGGCCGGACGGATGGGAGGCGGCCGTTCCTACCGCGCGAGCGAGAAGCGAATAAGCGACGAGCGGTCTGTCGTCAGTTAGCCCGTGAGTGAGTGAACAAACGTACGGAGGAAGGAGCAAGCAAACAAACAGAGAGGCTGACCGGCCGTCTGACCGATGGACAGACGAACGGACCGAGCGACCGGCGAGTCGGTCTTCTTCAGAGGTTCAGGTATTCCAAGAAGTAGTAGAAATACCAGAAAGAAGGGAAAAAGCTGTTGAAGGCGACGAGAAGAAATTCATCTCTAATGATGATGCTCAAACGTGACGCCGGGTCGAACGTGCGTTCGGTACTCTCTTTTCAACCTTATTTCCACGGTCCGCGGTCTAGCTGTCCGGCTGGATGAATGAAACCATGCGGATTTATCTCATTTCGCTTCTCATCTCCAGAACGAGTCTTTTCTGGTTCATAATTTGTTTGGCTTGCTCGCTGCGTTTGGCAGCGCTCGTGTCTACGTGCTGCGATGCTCGCGAAAAGTCCATCATATTCATGAAAGTGGAAGGCGACGATGATGGTTCGTTCCAATAGGATACCTCTATTTTCCATTCGTCCCCGAGAGATTCCGACGGGGAATCAAAGGAATGACGAGAAGCATCTGATCCGGCATCCAATGGAACTCCGAGAACGCTCCCCATCAGTTTCGATGGAGGACACAAGAATATTCGAGGAAGTTTTCGGC